GGCGGGAAATTGAAGGCAATTTAATTAAACATGATTTTGTTGAACGATTTTGATCGAATTGTCTTAATGATGTTTTTATATTTGATTGGAAACTGTGAAGTGGCTGGAAATTTTGGTTTTGAGAATGCCAAGGACGTAAAATTAAAGGCGTTTAAAGAATACTTTAAGAATGCATTTCAAAATTAATCAAACATTAAGTTACATAAATTCAGGCTTGATAAAAATTTTAAAATTAAAAAAAAAATTTATAAAAATTTATGGTTGTCTAAATTGTCTGTGTGTATTAATACCTTAAAAATCTTAATGTTAATAATAATTTTAAACTAAATTTTTATATGGTTTACATATTTCTCTAGAATATATTTCGAATAAAATTGAGTGTTTTAAATTGAAAATATATATGTTAGTATTTTGCTTAGCTGCAAACCTATTTAAATTTAAAAGCCATTTAAAATTAATTAAAATCGGGTTGTTTGTTCTTGTTATACCATTTCAATAATTTTTATAAAGAATGTCAAAGATTTGTTGTATAAATTTTGCCGGCTTTCAATCCTCATAAATGTCGCTTATAATTTTTTCCACGACAATTTAAATCAGCTTAAAATGTTTTAATGTGAAAAGCTTATTATTATCTGTTGTATGTCCACTCTCTCCCTCTCTCTCTCGCACTCTCTCTCTCTGTCACATAGCTTATCTCTGCACTTTGCTAATTTAAAAGCAATGTCCTTTGGAAAACTTGAATGCGTCTCGCATGTAATTTATTTCATTTTATTTCCTATTTTGTTTCTCTTGCTTTTCAGTACAACTTATATTTTCATTCGACTTAATGCTTTGTTTTCGTTTCCATCTTTCGCTCCCTTTCTCCCTCTCTTTCTCTCTCTCTCACTCGCTCTGTTTTCAAATTATTTCTTGCTCCTTTTGCACTCAGCTGACATTTCAGAGTCCTTGGTTGGACAGCCAATACAATTTAATGCCCATCTTTATTTATTTGTGCTTATACTCGACGGAAGCTGCGCTTAACTTTTCAACATCTTCGAAGTGTCGATAAGCGCGTCTACAACACTCATTCATGAAATTGAAATGGGTATATTGGGTTTGTAAAATGCCTCTTGGGGGGTGTGGAAAATCTTTTCTGCAGTTTTGGAGATAGAAACTAAATAAATGTTCTGTTGGCATTTTCTAGTGCATAAATATAATATATATTTACCAATTGGAGTCATGACCCCGAATGAGTATTTTACAGTCAGCAACGCCCGATTACTTACTTGTTTTTAATTTGTATTTTTGTCTTCCTTTTGCTCCACTCACATATGGTAGTTGCTGCTGCCTTTGATCAAGGTTTATTTTTCGCTTGGCTCTAAATCAATTAGCCATGCTTCATTGACCAATATATTTTTTGAAGCCACACTTGAAATTCCTGAAACACTTCAAATTGACAAATATCTGGCGCTTGATTAACACTTTATTAAGCGCCAGGCGTATGAGTATTCGTTTTTCTTTTTCCTTTTCTGCGTGCACAGCAAAAAGTCAAACAATTGTTAAAAATGCCTGTGTGTGTGTGTGTGTGTGTGTGTGGGAAATTGTTTTGTGAAGATATTGCAAGTATTTTCATAGCTATGATAAGCACTGAGCACCACAACAAATCATTGTCTGTCGAAAATCGAAAAATAAATTGAACTGATTTCTCTAGCTATCTTTGGCCTTCCTCTCACTTTCTCTCTCTTCCTTTTCCTCTGCGGTTGCTGGCTTGTCCCCTGTGGCTTTCTGACCACATCCGCAGGTCCTATACTCTGTCTGTGTGTGTGTGTGCGTGTTGTTTTTCGTGTCGCTTCTCCAAAAATGGCTTTTAACTTTTTGAGCTTGAAGCCAAAAGCAAATGCCAAAATGTTAGACATTCGGTCAGTCAGTCCGTCAGTCAATTTGGCAGTCTGGCAGTCTGTCAGTCAGTCATGCTGTTGCTCGTTTGCTAACTGTGCTTGTTGACGCACACACACACGCACACAGCTTGACATACATTGGTTATTGCTGCTACTGTGGAGCAGCTGCTGGCTTTATTGAAGAATGTGCAAGGCTGCAATGCCGCACAAGCTTGACTCAAGCACAAGTTCTCTAACTAAAATTCTTTAGTTGGGTTTGGAAAATTTTCGATTTTGTGATTGATTGCCCAAACTAAGCGTAAGAAATTTGCAAAAAATCAAATAAATAAATATTCTAAAAATATTTGTGATCTAACAATTTTGTACTAAATAGTTATTCATCTGTGTTTTAGATGGATGAATGCGTACTGATTGGTTCAAGTGATATGAAAGCTGAAGAAATTTGAGGGAATTTGAATTATGAACAAATTCATTAAAAAGAATTATTAATCATATATAAGTAATAAAAGATTTTTCAAAT